CATACAAGTTTACTAAGTTATGATGCTAAGCAGGTAGGCCATAATGCCCAGACAACTTCAGATAACACTAGATGAATAGCAACTACTAAATTACAACATAACCTGGTGTTGTTCGACCTATTCTTGTATTCATGAGAACTGCTACTGAAACTCAATGACCTGTGAATGTTTAACAGAAGCCTGGCTCCCCCAATAAAAATCCCCAATAGAACAATAATAATTCAAATACTACAAATCTAAATCCTCCGGGATTCAATCTTCTGTACGCTGAAGTTTCAATTCAACAAACATGCATTAAGTGATGTGCAAAGAACAAGAAATGAGGTGAGGTGCTGGGAAAGCAGTGTGAATGAGCCTTTAAAGAGCTTGCACTCTGTTAGAAGAGAGGTTTAAGCCAATGATTACAACACAGTGTGGTGCTTCAATATCAAAAGTATTTGTACCCTCACAAATAAATATGAAAACATCTCATAATAGGCATATAAACATAATAGGCAACTCATAAAAGAATACAAATGGTCAATAGATCAAACCCATTGTTTGCCTATGCAATCGGTGTATATTAAAAAGCTCATAATATCCACCGTTGGTGGGAGGTGTGGGAAAATGGTCATTCTTATGCTCTTACTGGACCACATTTCTACAGAATAATTTGAAAAGCTGGTCATTTAAAGCTGTTTAAAACTGTATATTCTTTGACTTGCAAATTCTATCGGTTTCAGTGAGTGGATAAACTAGTTTTGCTAACCAAAGGAAAATAATTCAATTTTAGGAAAACGGTAACTTTGGTTTAACAGTATAAATTTCAGACTCCTACAAGATATCCAAAGGGAATTGTCTAGGAGGCAGTTGGACATATATAATAATTAGCATTTACTCATGGTGTTTGCTATGTTTGCTAATCTTACATAATTTCATTTAATCTCTCCAAAATTCAAAGCCGTCTGTATAACATTGGCAGGACCAAGATTCAAACACAGCTCTTAACCCAAAGTTCTTAGTCAATATTCGATTCATGGTCCATGGGTTTGACACCTGGCAGAAAGGTCCAAGATAGAAATATACATTTGCAAGTTTATCTTTCGTTCACTCATTCATTCAGCAGAAATTTATTAGGTACCTAAGGTTGGATCTAAGAATAGCAAGAAAGTAAAGTTAACTTTCTTATCCTTAGGGACACAAAACAGAGATAGGCATGAAAACAAAAAACTGCAGTATGATACGACAGTGATAATAGAAATACTGAAGAGGAATAATACTAACCCCCTTTAAAAGAGAGAGTAGTCAACTCTGCATCAGAGACAGAGTCATCAAGGAAGGTTCTAAGAAAGGAAGACAATGCTTGGCCATGATTTTGAAGGATGAGTGGAAAAGAAAAAAATCCCCCAAGTGGACAGAAGAAGGAGGTAAGGAATGTGATTCCAGAAGAAGAACACTGAATATAAAGAAGCGTCACCCAAAACAGCACGGTCAGTACAAAGAAATACATGTAAGTCACCACACTGATAAATGGACAGTGCCCTTTAACCGCTCTCTAACCCCCATCCTCTGCTCCTCCAGATGCTGCAAAAAAGGACAGAGGAACTATAAAGCCTGCCATTCTCTTGAACTGCATTTCCCAAAGAGGTCCACTCCTCTAACCTCCCCTCCAAACTGAGAATTGGAAAGGGACTAGGCAGCCTCCCTTGTCAACGAGAAGCAGTGGTGTGGCGACACTCTCCAAAACAGCTTCCCAACAGCATCCCTATCTACCGCCTCACCCAGCCTTTGCTTTTCTTCATGGTCTTTATTTACCACTCAAATTCCATCCTCTATTCATTCTTTTCCTTGTTTATTGCCTTTCTCCGTCCTTAGACTATTCATTAGACTATAAGCTCCAGGAAGGCATGGGATGGGCCTTGTCTATTCTATTCTATTCACCACTGTGGTTTTCTTTGTTTTTTGCTTTTTGTTTGAGACAGGGTCTTTTGAGACAGGGTCAGGCTGTAAGTGGAATGGTGTGACCATGACCCACTGCAGCCTCAACCTCCTGGGCTCAAGCAATCCTCTCGCCTCGGACCCCCAAGAAGTTGGGACTACAGGTGCTTGCCACCACACAGCTAATTTTATAATTTTTATTTTGTAAAGACAAGGTCTCACTATATTGCCCAGTCTGGTCTCAAACTCCTGGGTTCAAGGGATCCTCCCACCTCAGCCTCTCAAAGTGCAAGAATTATCATCATGAGTCATCCTGCCCACTGTATCTGGAAGAACACTTGCCGCAGGAAGACACTCCACAAATCCTTGCTGAATGAATGAGTGCTGTTTTACCTTACCCAACATACAGCATTATGATTATTTTAAACCTAAAACTCCAATCAAAATAATATTTCACTTTTATCAGGTAATACTTTCTGGAACATTTCACATATTTTCATGGTCTAATGAAATTTTCTAATGCTCTAAATAGCATCCCTATGCCCTCTATTTTCTTTTTCACCACAACAAATATTTAAAACAAAATCTGTCTCCAAAATTAACAATTAAGAAGTTTAACTCTGCTCTATACACACAGCAATCTTTCATTAGAGTATCTTTGGACCAAAGAGAACAAGGTAACAATTTTAGATAAAGTGGTATGCCAACTACAAACTGATGTACCGCTTCAGTGAAACATACATCAAGAAAAACAGAAGGAAGTTATTCTATACTTAACAAAAAACTCCAAGTCCTGCTAATAAAACAAAAATATCTCAGGTAGGAAAAAAAAAATGACTGATGTTATTTAAAAAACAGATAACACATGACAATGCTAAGGAGGTCACCATTTTTTAGGAATTAGTATCACTGATAATAGTAAATTCATAGAGACCAGGTCTTGCGAAGACTGTATGCGATATAAAATGCTTGGTAAAATGTTTGGCAAGCTCCTGGAATGTGTTTATCCAACTGGCCATTTCACTTTGGGTTTATTCTGAGCAACTTTCAGGCTACTTGTGTCACAGATAGGATGGTCTTTCCCTGGTATTTTAGGCTTTTTTTTTTTTTTTGAGACAGAGTCTCGTTCTGTTGCCCAGGCTGGAGTGCAGTGGAGCAATCTCGGCTCACTGCAACCTCTGCCTCCTGGGTTCAAGCGATTCTCATGCCTTAGCCTCCTGCGTAGCTGGGATTACAGGCATGCACTATCACACCCAGCTAATTTTTGTATTTTTTAGTAGAGACGGAGTTTCGCCAGGTTGATCCACCCACCTCGGCCTTCCAAAGTGCCAGGATTACAAGGCATGAGCCACCGCGCCCAGCCACATTTTAGGCTTTAAAAGGATACAGGAAACTAGTACTGCAAGCTTAGCCGTGCCATTACTAAACTGATTAAAATTTTTGACACAAATTGTAAATCAGGCAAAATGCAACTTCAAAGGTTCAAATATTATGAAAAATATTTACTGTTACTATGAATCTATTTCAAGACCAATGAAGGCTGAAGTAAGACCTAACTGTTGCCTTGCCAAATCCTTTCTCAATATAAATGCCATGTAAAATTACACAATGGATTTACTCTAACCCTTTTTACATGGGAGTTACAAAAAGAAGCCTTTAAACCCCTCTAGGGATAAATTTACTTTTCTCAGCCAAGTGTTAACAGCAATAAATGGAGGATTTACATGTAATCCCTAAAAGCAAATAGGCAGAAATTACCAACCATGCTATGACTTTTTAACTAAGCATTTTATTTAATCCCACTTATATAACAGGACAATTTAAAGGGTGCCAGTTCTAAAAGTATGAGATGCAAATGCAAAATAGTGTCCCTAATATTTTAAAGCAAATTTTCTAGGATTGTATATTCAAACAAATGTGGGCTGGTTTTGGTTTTTTTTCAGAGTACTCACTAGGAATGACTAAATAAACACCTATTCAATCAATACTGCCATTTCTTAAAAATAATAGGTATCTGAAAACTTTTTTCAAAGTCAATGTATAAGTGATATCCTTTCGAAATAGATACAAATGAACATTAAACTAAAAAAAAATGGATTTATTCATAGGCTAATAACAGTATAATAAACGAGCTACATGGTAAGAGTCTCTTTGTGTTAACTGCTCATTGGTGGCCCACCATCCTAGAACTGTATTTCCAGGATTTCATCTGCATCTGGTTAATGAGATCTATTTTTCTGGTAAGTATTCTTTAGATAAATCAGACTTTATCAAAAACAGAATTCATATTATTGCAAACCATAATAGCTAGTTTGTGATTTGTAAGACCATGTTATTGATATCACAAATCTAAAAGAGATGTTCCATTGAGAAAGAGAGATCCCTTTACCCAACCATTATACTCTAAAAATAAAACCAACATTTCTTCACACACATACAAAATCAAGGCAGAAATATACAAGACTTTGACACAAAAAAATGTTATCAAAGGGTCAGGGTTTCACGTTCTAAACTTGTTTTCACCGGTCAGTAACAGTCTAGTCTGACAAATAGTAGGCCAAACGGCTGATGTCACTTACCTTCTTGTATTCCAACCTCGCTGAAAAATCAGGAGAAACCTGTTTACAAACAATCTCTGCCTTGAGCAGAGTTCTGCTACCTCTAAATAAACCCCTTTTAATTTCTGATCACACGACTCATAAGAGTTCAGCAAAAATAAGAAAAAAAAATTACTAGCCAAATACACATAACCACTCTTCACATTCTGATGTAGTAAAAATGGTCACTTGCTAAGGCTTCTTTTCTTCAAGACATTCTCCTTTTTTGCCCCCTCTTCCTTCCACTTACTTCCCTGCTAAAGATTTCAGTATTATTGAGATAACCAGTACCCTTTAGTCAAGAAAACGGCTTTCTGAAGAAACTGAGCACAGTGGTACTCTGGAATAAAATCCCCCTGGGCTCTGAGTAGAAGTGCAACACTCCTGCCCATGTACAACCTGTCGCACCTGCCACCAGCCCGGAAGGCCGGGACTACCACGGAACCTGTTTCCAGCGTTCGACGCCTCCTGCAAAACACCACTTACTGTGCCAGGCATATGACTTCTCTCATTCTTCCCATTCTGAGAGCTGCCATTTTTTAGCTTCTTTTTCTTTTTTGCTGTTTCTTTGTGCTCTTTCTGTTTGTTTTGCACTTCAATAAGAACAGAAATAAAGCTGTTTTTCACTTCCTTTTCAAACTCCAGTTCATCTCGTAAAGCCAACTGCTGCACCAGCTCCTCAGAGTACTCCTTAATGGCAGTCTCAATTTCTTCTAGGATTTCATTTAACTCAGACACTGAGAGCCTTTTCACTCCTAGGACCAAAAACAAAATATTAAGGCAAAAGCGTTTCAAGGAAGCAAAACAGAGCAGTCACTAGGAGTAACTAAATAAACACCTATGTAATCAATGCCAAAGAGCAAAAATTATATTCCAAGCAATTAAATTGACTGTGTGTGATCTTCTCAGAATTCTAACATTTCTGGAGGGCAGGTCTGAGTAGTGGTAAGTGGGCAGGTGAGTCACTTCTCAGCCTGCTGGGAAGAAAGTCTAACGAAAGTTTTTACTTGTGCAAATAAATCATTCCATGAATAATACTTCAGTCAAGACTGTGAAGGCTTGTACATGGAAAAGAACAAACACAAAAGCAGAGGGAAAGTACAGAATCCACCTGCTGGCAAGAAACTGCGAGCCATTCAGCAGGGTTCTGGGATATCTCTGAACAGGAAAGGAGTTGATCTGAAAGAATTAAATTAAATACATACTTAATGACATACACCCCAATCTGTGAATTTTGTTGAAAATTGGTGATATGGTTTGTATCTGTGTCTCCACTCAAATCTCATATTGAAATGTAATCCCCAATGTTGGAGGTGGGGCTTGCTGGGAGGTCATTGGATCATGAGAGCAATTTCTAACAGTTTAGTACCATTCCCCTGGTGCTGTTCTCATAACAGAGTTCTCATGCGACCTGGTTGTTTAAAAGCGTGTGGCACCTCCACCAGGCCCCCTTCCTCCTGCTCCAGCCATGTGAAGATGCCTGCTCCGGCTTTGCCTCCTACCATGAGTAAAAGCTCCCTGAGGCCTCCCCAGAAGCAGATGCTGCCAGGCTTCCTGTACAGCCTGCGGAACCATTAGCCAATTAAACCTCTTTTCCTATAAATTACCCAGTTTTAGGCATTTCTTTGTAGCAGTACGAGAATGGACTAAACAACTGGGAAGACAAAGGGGAACAATATTCCCTGAAACCCCATTTCAGTCTTTTCTCAGCACTTCTCCCCATGTGAGAGATAGGACACTGTTAAAGTCCCAACCCACAGGGCCTCAGAATGTGGA